ATGAAAAATCAGAGCCAATGTGGTGGACTTTTACCTGATGTCGATGTCAGGGCTGACTGTATTATTATCGGGTCGGTTCTTCCTGTGTGTGTATAACGATACGAGGTGCCCATTGTGGATGGTATTGGGTCAGGTCGGGGGTGGTCGCCGCACTTGTCATCTGTTTTTGAGGTGACGAGTTGGGCGCGATTGGCTTGTTGAACGATAGCCGCTTTGCACCCTCAATCAGGCTGGCAAACCGACCCGACCTGACCTCCCGATGGGCACCCCGTATTAGGGCAATACACACACGTTTGTCCTTTTTCCATGTTTATTACTTTGGGTTGGTGGGAAAAAAGGGAGGTGGGGGTAATCGATCATCTCATGAAGCCAAATCCCAGTGCATTGTTGACTGTTAATAAATGGTACAAAAGTGCATATACAGTGAATATGTCAAAGAAAGCCTCTTTATGATGTAAAGTATTGCATGAGGCTTGAGGGGGACTCGTAAGAGGGGTAATCCAGACAATTTAGGATGTTTATGAATATCTGTTGAGCTCACATATGTGACCACATATATATATGTGTATGATAAGTGTGTTTTGGGGCGCTTTTTCTGTAGTTCCCATCCGCCAATTATTATTCCACCTATTTTCCTGTTTCGGGAATATAATCAAGTTAAAACTTTGCTAATATCGGCCTAAATCGAATGTTTGAAGAGATTTCGACTTATGAATCTCCTTTTGCACTGTACAAGAATGAAAATTACTTGTTAAACGCTTTTTTGTAAAAGTAAATAGCACGGAAAATGGTTCACTTTCCAACTTGGCTATAGGCTAATGTTATCAATGAACGATTGGCCAAATTGTACTTCCATTTCAGACAAAAACAACAATGACGACAGCTTGGACGACAGTCAATTTCCCAGACGCACTTCATGATTGCAATTAACAACAAAAGGCCTGGATGTAGTGTTTGATATATGTAATTTTGACGAATCGATTGCCTTGATCTAGTATTTTTACCTAGAGATCTAGTATTCAAATGCAAAATTGAGCTCAATTTTGCAAATTTCGAATAAAATAGGCCCAAATTTCGGGAACTACTGAAAAAGCGACAGTTTTTGTTCAGTTGTAGTTTTGGGCAAGGCGCCTAATTTTGACTGGTAGTATCAAAATTGAGAGTTACAGCTTATTAACTCTTTCCGCACATATCGCCGATATATCGGCTCGAGGCCACACCCCTTGCAGATGTATCAACAATACATCAGCTGGTATAGGATACCTCAGTTTCGTTTCGTTTTATCACGATTCGTCATTTATAATTACTTTTTATTGCTATTGAAAAACTAAGAAAGGATTTAGGATACGAAAACATCTCATTTCACTTTGTCAAAGCATGGGTTTTGGGAGAAACGAGTGAATTAGTTCTTCCGATCTTACATCAAAAAACCAATGTAACTGGACTCAGCATAAATATCACAACTCAAACAAAAATTGGAAATATTGCTTTCAAATAAAAAGCTGCGCATTCAGAAATTTATGGATTATAGCTCTTGGCCTGTATATGATAAGATAGCTATACTGATTTCCTTTCACATGTTTGGTGAATTATTTTTTTCCGTCAAAATTTATTTTTCTTATCACCATCGCCATTTTTAACCCTTCTAATGCATACCTATGTTCAAAATTAATCCTTGTTTCATATTGGGATGTATTTCTCATTCAATTTCCTTCAATTTGGTATATCGTGTTACGTTTTGAGGGATGGTTATGCTTCTATGAAGTTATTTTGTACACCACCTGCATAGCCGTATTCGAGCCTCAAGTTAATTATGTCTAGACCCGAAAAAAACTACGTCCAGAAAGAGTTCAGAAGTAGCAAGTTAATGCTGCCTCTGTAGTCAAAATGCAAACTTGAATGGCTTACTACTTGTGATCTTACTATCATGATAAAGGAAATTTTTACATTTTGTACTGAAAGTTTATCATTCAGCTGCCATGGCTAGGATGCAAAAGGTTTTGTGTTTGTGTTATTTCTAAAAGTGTGAAATAATTCTTTTTGTTTAAAGTGTTTGACTCAAAAAAAAATTTTGTGTTTTGGTTTTGGGCTAGGACAATTTAGACAAGATACTGTACAGAAGATCTCAATGCAGTACCCGAATTATCTGAATAGTTCTGTCTTTCAAGATAGAAATCGCCATTTTCACACATTTTCAGATATATTCAAATTAAAATATCGTAGCTTCAATGGATAGTTCGAAATTTTTTGTTCTCTCTCTCTCTCTCTCTCTCTCTCTCTCTCTCTCTCTCTCTCTCTCTCTATCTCTATCTCTCTCTCTCTCTCTATCTCTATCTCTCTATCTCTACTTGTGGTTTTCATCCATTGAGGTGATGAAGACCATCTAGTTGCCCAGATCTCTCACTAAATCTCTCTCTTTCTCTGTTATTGGACCTGTCTTTTTACGATATATCTAGCATCTGCATTTGTTGCCGTTTTTTTGTCCAAAAGTTGCAGTTAATTTTCAAGCTTTCAACTCTCTGTGACGCCATATAGCAATATAATGTTAATAGAGGTAACTTAATCTAAAGCACCAGAATTCCTTGTGCTCTGTTTTTAGGCTATCTGCTGGTGAAATTTCTAAAATCCATATCCCTTGACTATATATAGTAACAATGATGAATATTTATATTAGTCAGACATCAAAGAATAAATTCAAGTAAATATTTATTATTATAAGCACATAGTAACCATGGTAACCAAGGAAACATTCACCATATATATATTGTATAATTTCATCAAATTAAAGCTGTCTTCTCTCTTAGTTTTCGTCCGTTGGCTTTCATTTTTGGCAAGTACAAACAACAACACCTATGTGATGAAGAACTAACGCCGGATTTGTAATATTACGATTTTGAAAATAATTATGGACTCTGGAAATGTGTATGGATGAATAGTTTTAAAATCTTAACATTCCCAACAAAAGCACTGATTGTAATTTTACTTGTTTATTATCTTCAAAAAAAGGCTCTATTTCAGCACAGGTTACCTCTATGGATGGACAATGTGTAAAATAATGAAGCTATTCAAATTAAAAATAAAGGAGAAGATGTAATTTGAAGTTGGAAAAATAAATATTTGAAAAAAATAAAGAAAATATTAAAAAACAGGACCCAAGATTGCATAATAGTTTTTTAAAAGACTTCTAAACATAATTGATTGAAGCGGGTGCTCGAAACTTTGAAGAAAATGGATGTAGGTTTCAAAAATGGAGGGGGAAAAATGTATGGTAAAAATGGGGGCAATCTCGCCCGCAGATGGCCTTAAACATCCAGAATATCATTTGTAGCCACACAGAGGGTAAAAACGTGAAAAATAAAGGATTCACAACAGAATGAAATCAACATTAGAACAGCACATAAACAACGACAACTTTTATTACCCGGCAGTGGGGTTGGTTTTTTTTGGGGGGGAGGGGGTTTATGCAAAAATCGCGGACCAAAAAATGCCAAAAATCGCGGCCTCGACAAACTACTATGCTAGATATATACACAACCTATTGTTGATGTTTTAAGACAATATGGCATGAATTACCATCTTTATGCCGATGATACTTAGTTCTATAGGTCTATTGATTTCGATCAAATACCACTTTTAGTCGACTCTATTGAACGATGCATTAGAGAATTAAAAATATGGATGACGAGCAATAAGTTGAAACTTAAGATTTATAGGTCTATTGATTTCGATCAAATACCACTTTTAGTCGACTATTTTGAACAATGTATTTGAGAATTAAATTAAGAAATTATTTGACTAAAGCTGCAGCCAAGACACTTGTAACAACACTGATTTTATCAAAGTAAGATTACTGTATGCTATTTTGTCCGGTTTGACGGCTGAAAAACTATCAAAGTACAAGTACTCCAAAATCAAGCAGCAAAATTGAGAGTGAAACAAAAGAAATCAGCGCATGTAACACCAATTCTGAAAAAAACTACACTGGCTGCCAGTAAAAGAAAGGATCAAATACAACACTGCTATTCTCTGTTTTAAATGTATAAATAATACTGCCTCTATTTATCTTAAAACATTCCTGGAATTATATCATCCACCCAGAACCCTTAGATCAGCCTCTGATAATCTAATTCTTAAAACTCAAAAGCAAAATTACAAAACATACGGCGACGTTCATTTTTGTTCTTTGGTCCCCAGGTATGGAACAAACTCCTATATAAAATAAGATCTGCCCCAACAATTTTCTACTGCTATATATGCATGTGTATGCCAGACTGTGAGACTGAAGAAAAAGCGTGTGAGAATGAGAGAAAGAGAGAGGGAGAGAGAGAACAGAAATGTTTTTTCTATCTCATAGAAATTTTTACACATATACATAGATATTATAATACTTTGTTTTGCGTACACTTTTCGATTCATTTTTAAGATGTGATGTCTTAATCGGTGTAATGCACATTGAGCATTTTTTTAGAAAATGGAAATGCGCAGTATAAATGCTATTTATTATTATTATTATTATTATTAAATTATTATTATTATTATTTTTATGATATACATTATGTCTTTCTCTTTCTTTCTTTCTTTAAATTTCTCTCTCACTACCAGTCACTCACTTTATCAGTATTTCTTTCTTAATCATTTCTCATTTAATATAATCTCTCTCTCTCTCTCTCTCTCTCTCTCTCTCTCTCTCTCTCTCTCTCTCTCTCTCCCTCTCCCTTTCTCTCTCTCTCTCTCTCTCTCTCTCTCTCTCCCTTTCTCTCTCTCTCTCTCTCTCTCTCTCTCTCTCTCTCTCTCTCTCTCTCTCTCTCTCTCTCTCTCTCTCTCTCTCTCTCTCTCTCTCTCTCTCTCTCTCTCTTAGAGGGTTTCTTTTAGATCCTTATTCATTTTTTTTTTTTAATTGTAGTGAGCAATTTTAATGTGTATTGATAGATTTCCTGCCTAATGATTACAAACAACACTTACTTTCATCTGATTTATATATTTTTTTTTTTCCCTTACAGTTCAGTTCCTGGCAAATCAGAAAAGGGTCAAATTTTCAAAAAGTGTTGCACGGTTACTACTTGACAAGACCATGAAGTTGCAACAGCGTTTTTGGAATGTGTTGAACTACAGCCAGCGTCTCTCTGAGAACAGAGAAATTTCATTATATTCCTGATTACAATGGATTTCATGAAATGCATCGCAAATTCATTTTTGGATGGGACTTGAAATCATAGATTTATCTGTTTATTTTGGTCGAAAATCTCAGTAACGTAACAGTAGTTCGTATGTCCATAATTTTACGCTTCACCATGTGGCTTCGAAGGGAACTTATGAGGTGCGTGGGGTTCGTGTTGAAACTTTTATCATTCAATAAGCGTTGTTCGCTCCCAAGGACTTTAGTGCTAATCATTTTGCTCAGTGCTGTATCCAGTGTCATTTTCCTGTACTCAGTTATGGACTCAAGCTCACGAGTTCCTCGGGCTAATCCTCCGGTGCCGCACATACGCTGCCAGAGGGACCCAATGGCAGCCGAACGACCTATCATCGGTTCAGGAAAGCGCAGTGGAGAACAACGTCTTCGTATCGCTCATAGAGCTTTGCTCATTTCTGAGAGTCTGAACTCTAGGGGTGGTCAGAAGATTCGATATTTCTTGAGTTCACTGCGTATTGATGTGAAAGTAGAAGTTAAAACCAAAACTTTACCTACTTTAGCGAACAGGAAGTCTGGCCGTTTCGCTGTCATTATTTTTGAAAATTACAATTCTTATTTGGACCTTGACAATTGGAATCGGCAACTGATTGACAAATACTGCCATGACTATGGGGTTGGCATAATAGGGTTTGTGAAGCCCCCAGATGATTCAGCAACTAGCTTTAGTCATTTTGAAAGCTATTTCATGACATTTCAGTACAATTTAAAGCTAGAAGATTACAAACTGAGACCTGACTCTGACATTTGGAGAGTGACTAAACCTGGTGAAATCTGGAAAGGGCCTCTCCCAAGCACATGGACAGTGTTTCACAGTAATCATTCAACCTATCAGTCTTTAGCCTTTTCAAAACTTTCTTCAAGTTTTTTGGAATTTGATACCGGTGAAGTCCTAGATTCATCTTTCAAGTATGTTACTGCAGTCTATGATCAGGGTCAAATTGATGGAATCCCTAAGATTTTATTGGGCTGTGATTTGAACTTTTGGTTGCATTCAATGATAGTTATGGATGCACTGTCGTATTTGTCCTTTGGGAAATTGGAGCTGACACTGGACAGATTCATTCAAGTTGATGTGGATGACATCTTTGTTGGAAAGGTTGGGATTCGCATGAAAACTCCTGATGTCCAGGTGAGTAAAAAGTATATATACAGTCGAACCTGCCTTAACGGAAACCTGTCTAAACGGAATCTCCCCGCTCCCCCGTTGATATATTCCTCTTTAATTACCTGTATAAACCGGAAACCTGTCCAACAACGCGGAAACGGAAAGAAAAATTCGCTCCCTTCCGAGTGTTTCACCTGTCTAAGACGGAAAATGCTTTTCCTGGTCAGCCCTGATTTGAAACAAAATTCACTAGTTTGATTCCGCCGACTCTAAACTTAACGCCATGGCCATGCCGCTGAGCGAGGAAGGGGAGTAGGGGGGCATTTTGGGGATAGATGTTACCCCATCATGTGTGCCCTGAGCGATGCAGATGGTCAGGGTGGTGTGGGTGTGAAATGTCGCGACTGCCCGTGAGAGTGCTCGAGCTGTGAGCCGCTATGGAAACTTTCCTGGGTAGCCATTTGCCAGAGGTGTGAAATTAGATTGACCAATGCCTGCCGTCCTGATCGTACAGCCAGCCGAGATAAGAGTTCCTTGAATTGTTGTTATATGATGGCAGTGAGGAGAGGCATTGGTTGACTGTGCTTGTTACACCGATGGGTGTGGCTAAGAGTGGAAGCAAAGGAGATGTTCAAACGTTTCTGTTTTTCATAGGTCAAACAGTGGTCCTATGAAAGGCAAGCACTGATGGTAATTGGATAAGTAAGATTGACACATGTCATTATCCGACAGGATAGCAATTGAGAGGTGTGAAGTTTTGACCACTGCTTACCGATCGGACAAGCGATCCCTGATCCCACCTGCTGGGCCTTTGAACACCCCTCCCCCCCCTTCGATCTCCCCCTAAATACCCCTGTCTAAGACGCAATTTTTTTCTGGCTCCCTTGCGATTCCGTCTTATACAGGTTCGACTGTATATTTATTTATATATGTTTTATTTATTTGCTGTGTGTACTTCACTTTCATGATAGAAAATAAACTGCTTGCATGACGAATGCTTAATTTAAAAACTAGTTCACTTGATATGGAGGGTTTCAGTTATTTCTCAAACATTGGCGGGGGGGGGGGGTAAATTTGTCATTTATATGCATCAAATGTTTTTCCAAACAGCAGCATTCTTACAGTGAGAAGGAAGAGGGACAACACAAATATGTATTCAAGATATCATACTTTTGAAGATATAATTATCTTACATTTTTAATTGGTCAAAAGAGAAGGCCTAAAAAAAATTTTGGTAATAATATTAATAATAGTTTGTCTGTCAATCTCTGATGATGACCAGTGCATCCACAGAGGAGATTTTTTGTTGTTGTTTTTTTTTTGTAAATGTTTTACAGCGCTCGCAACTGCATAAGGTCATATGAGCACGCTGGACACACCAAACATTTTCAATTTATATGAAATTTTTAATTTTGCCCAGGTGGCGGCCAAAGCCTACTCTTATCGATTTTGGTCCACCAAGGGATCTTTAATGTGCGCTACTTGCACACGCAACCTCCAGGATTTTTCGCACTTGTCCAAGAAGGCTAGATGTAGATCTTTCCTACCAGAAGATCAGGGGTGTGGCTGAAAGACAGCAGTAAGAAGGAGCCAAGGAGTAGCAGTAGAAAGACTGCAGAAAGAGTCAGCAGCCCAGTGGAGGGGGCAAAGGAGGTGCGGGGGTGGGGGAAGAAAGTGGAGACGAAAGCAGACGACAGAATATTGCAAGAGAGAAAGAAGGTGAAAGGAGACAATTTTAGAAAAGAAAATTTTTCCATCACTACCCAGATTTGAACCCGAGACCTTTGAATGAGAGGCAAACACCTTAACCTCTAGGCCACGAGGGCCCCCTAGATACTTCTTATGAAATAAAAGACATAAAGGTTAAGATGACATGTGGCTTCTGCTATGGCTAAGTTTGTCACATTTTGAGCATTTAAAAAAGCTTTCACTTCCACTCGTGGATATCCGCAGCTTGCAGGCTTTTCTTGGCTCCAGTATTTCGTTTTTATGAAGCTTCGTATGACATGCACCCACTGTGACTGCTGTTCATCAGCTTCGTCTGTAAGGAGCTAGGAAAATAAGAATGATACCACTACCAGGTAGATGTCTTGAAGCCTTGTTGGGAAAAAGAAAGATGAAGAAACTAACATTTTTTTTAAACTAAATTTTTCATTATTAGTACATCCTCACCCCGGTTGTCTTGCAGGTCAATTACTCAATATCCTGGCAAGTTTTGTGATATGTAGGCAGTAAGAATGAAATTATTAACCTATTGTTTTTGTCTAATTTATCCAAGTTCTTATTGATATAGTATTCAACAAATATTTGTTTTTTATTTCTTAAGGCGCTCTTGGAAACACAGCAGAGACTTCAGAGAGAAGTAGAGGGCTTCCGATTCAACCTCGGCTTCTCTGGAGGTTTTTTCCTCTCTGGAGATGATGAAGAAGACAAAGGAGACAGAGAGCTGTTGGGTATGTGTGTCTTACATGGAGGTGGTTTTAAATAGTCGTCAGAGAATCTTGGTAAATTGTTTACTGGAATGATATTTGTTGACAGGATATTTTGAGGACATAATGGTTACAACACTCACCTCTTAGTCCAGGGTCTTTGGGTAGATTCCCTCACTGGAGTCCCTCTTCATATTTATCTGTAAATGGTATAGTTAGAGCCATGGTCTATCTCAAAAGGACATTAAAAAAGCCTCCTCATATTATATCACTTGTTTTGAAAGTGGTGTATCCAAACAAACAAACAAAATGCCATGCCTAGTAAAAAATGTTTCAAAGCATTCCTATCATTCCTATTTATGGTGTGTGAAATTTTGTTGTAAAAGTAATAGAAAGTTATTTTAATTTGAATCAGTAAAGACATAACAGATTCAGCTTTGCTGTGTTGAGGCCTTATTATGGTGGTACAGTTCTGATTGATTGAAAGCAGTTATATAAGTTTACTGTCAAGGGTGCTATGAGCGACAATTGTTTTGAAGTTTGTTATGTATGAAATTAATATAACTTGTTCGCTGATTGAAATATAATATTGCTGTCTAGATTTCCTCAAATGTGTTTTTCAAGATCATATATTTGTTATGAGGTGGGTTTTATGAAACTAATTCTTCTGTTGAATTCTAAGTAATTTGAACGTATTCACTGTATTCTAGCTTCCTTTTGATTCCCACTTGACTTTCAATTTCAGAAAATCGTAATAGCTTCCGATGGTTTAGCCACATGTTTCGACATGAGCAACCCCACAAGTTTGATCCAGCCTATGTTGAACATTCCATGATGCTTAATAAGAAATTTGCTGAGGTAAGTATGGCCCAGAGAGGCCAATATCTAAATTTATGTTGTGGAGTGACTTTGTTTAATGTTTTGCTTAAATGCTCTTTCTCGCGATGTACTATCAAAAGTAGTATGAATAAGTGCTGCAAATTTGTTGAATAGAAAAATATCCATTTAGAAAATTGTATTTGTGTCACGACGCTGTGGAATCAGGCACTCGTCATTTTTTGGTCATGTGGAGTTATTGGTGTCATCTGAAAGCTTATTCTTATGTTTTGCTTTCAATGAAAAAATACGCATCTATCTTTAGTTGAAGTCAAGATATTGGCAGTTGAAAGAGATGAGGTCGCCTGGTTTCAGTGGTGAATTTAACGAGAAAATGGCTGCCAAAGTTTGTAACTCCAATAGCTAAAGAGTCCTTGAAAACTGAATAATGACATATTTTCAGCCTTTAATCAATGTTTGTCAGTAAAATTCACATGGAACTATGTTTGTCTATGGACATAAAAGGATTTGAGCCAAAAAACAAAAGTTCGATAAACATTGTCAAAAAATTTGCGGGAAATGCCTGTTTCTCCGATTTCTTTATTTTGACGAAAGCCTAATTTAACCACGATGCGTCACATTTTTATTTCATTTTTTTCTGCTTTGTCTCTTCTCTGTTAGTGATACCTTCAATTTCATGAAAATAACAATCTGATCTAACTTAGTGTAGATCATGACAAGTCTGGAGTACCCTGCTTGTTTATTTTTTGTTAATTCAGGTGGATGCATATGAAAGAGAAACTGTTGATAAAAAGAGAATGTACAGTTTTACCACCTCACTTGTTTTGGATGAAACATGTATATTATGCAAAGGATATTTCTATTCATGAGCAAAAAATAACAAACATGAGTTCCCTTTAGCGAGTGGTTGGTGGGTACTCTGGTGTGGTTTGCTCCTTCTTTCCAATCAAACGTCTATCTTCCTTATCTCTCTTCCTTTGGGGTTTTTTTTTGGTGTGTGTGTGTTTGTTACTCTCTTTGACCACCTCTAATCTCCCGCACCTATATGATGTAATTAGGTTGCAAGTGCTGTAAAATTCTTACTTAAAAACAAAAACATGAATTGCCTTTTCAGGATCATGATATTCAAGTGTACGGTATGTATGCGGTGGCACCTCACCACTCCGGAGTGTTTCCAGTGTACGAGCCGCTGTACACGTCTTGGAAGTCTGTATGGGGTGTCATGGTCACCAGCACAGAAGAGTACCCAAAACTGCTGCCCTCATGGAAGCGCCATGGTTTTATCCATAAGGGGATCATGGTGGGTTTGAGCCATGGTTTGATTGGTTCGGTTTGCATGTGAACATTGTTTTCCGTCTCTAAGATCATTTGAATGTTCAGAGTTGTTGGAAGAAGACTGAGTTATCTTTGCTATGTGCAGGATATTTTTTTTAACTTTTGTACTCCGTGGAATGAATGTAACATTGTTTTACAGTGTGTACGATTATGTTTGCTAATGACAACCCCCCGGGGCGGTGCTACTGACTGAAGTGTCTTTAGACCATTCCCAAATGGGGGACATTAACCTTTTCTTATGCACGGTAGAATTGTGAATAGGCTGAATCATCGATGTCATGCTCATAACTGTGCCGGAGTCTCAACAGGGAACTGCTACTTTTTCTTTCCTAATCCTTTCTATTGTCATTTTCCCTCTACTTCTTTTGTATGTTTGTCACACTCTTGTGACCCGCTATTTCCAGGGTGCCTTGATAGTTGAAGTAGACTGTGTGCTGTTGAAGCTAGAGAGGTGAGCAGAGCAAGTCTGATTCCCTGTGAGGATTTCTCTGTTGACATCCGCCCCTTGGCGCTCGTATGACTTTATGCAGTTGCGAGCGCCATAAAACCTCTACTAAAGAAAAAAAAAGCTTATTACAATTATTTTCCTTGAAGACAACGTATGTAATGGTGATAACAGTAGTTTCATTTTTTTTTTTTATTCAACAATAATTTGTAAAAATTGTGATTTCGGCTTAGTTTTTTTGTTTTTGTTTTTATTTCAACGGTTCAAGGCATATAATATCAACATGATGATGTCTTTTTTTAATGGAAGCTGTATTATGTTCTTTTGTCATGCTGCTTAATTTCCTGTAAAAGTTTTTAACATACATAATTTTTCCTAAACCTTAATAATGAAAGAATGTTACTTAAGTTCATTCTCTTCTTTTAAAAAATATTTTATGAAAATAACAGAGATGTGCTTTTTTTCGTAAAAAGATAATGATCTCTGATGCATCTTTTTATGTATATGGTTTTCTGCAGGTACTGCCTCGTCAGACGTGTGGCTTGTTTACCACCACTGTCTTTTCCTCCGACTTCCGCGGGGGTCTTACAGGTTTGGATGCCAGTATACAGGGTGGCGAAATTTTTCAAACAATCCTGACCACACCTGTAAGTTACTGTTATAAATGTATTTTATGCTTAAACTGTTATCTTTTATTTCAATTTGTTGTTAGATGTTGTTCAGTCCCCTCAAAATCTGCCTCTATTCTTTTTACAGTATCTTTTTTTTTTGTGCTGCATCTTATTTTTTGTATGTGGGGGGGGGGGCATTTTAGTGTTCTGGTAGATGAGAATACAGTGAAGACTATATTCATCAATTGTTTGCTCATTGTAAATGATGTGAAGGTCACTAGACTATGTAATTATATCATTTTTTTTTATTTTCAGTAATGTTAATAGTCTGTTTCTACATATCATTGCCTCAGAACTATTTAGTCCAAAGTGCACTCATTACTCAAACACACTTTGGACACAACAGTTCTGGGGCGACCATCTGTATCAATAGTTGTTTATTTTAAGGCGGAGAAGGTGTTGTTATACAGAGCCTCATCTTGCCTCTTAATCCATTCCTTTGTCCAACACTTCTCTTCACCAGATGAGTATCTTTATGACTCACCTGTCCAATTATGGAAACGACCGACTGGCCTTGTACATGATGGAGAGTGTAGTGGAGTTTCTCAAGTGCTGGACAAACTTGCGCCTGCTCTCCCTGCCCCCACTTGAGATGGGCTTCAAGTACTTTGAGCTGTATCCACAAGACAAGGATCCTCTCTGGACGGTTAGCTGTTTTGTGTACAATTTAGCGTAATCTTTCTTTGTTTTCCCTCTTTTTCTTGTGAAGTTTTTGAAGTGGAAGGGTGCCTGTGTTTGGAGGGCGCTGCTGGTTCGCCGTACTTCTTAACTCGTCCTCAGTAGTTTTTGTGTTCTGTCTTGCTCTTCTCAAGCTCTGAATGATTGGGTTATGTTGGGGTGTTTTCTTCACTTGAACTTAAGTGGAAGACTCAACATTGTCAATGTCTGGTTTTTAAGGTCGAATTAGTATAAAAATATGTGCTCAGCCCAGACATGCACAAAAAATCTTTTTGATTATGAGTGTGAAACTTAAACCGTTTTCCTTTTTATTTCATTGACTGATTGAGTTGAAGAGAGCACTTCTCCTTATTTATAGTAATACAGGCATCCCAAAAGTCACGCACCATCCTGGCTTTCATTTTTTTTTAAAACCAACAAACTGTTTGATTGATATTTTTCTATAATAAATGCTCAAATTGAGCTCCCTCGGGGGACAAAACAAGCATTGACTCTCCCAAGAAAGTTGTTTATTACATACTTGGGTGTTTCGGGGGGGGGATCTTTTGGTCCTATGTAGTTGTTGCATCCTTCAAATTGTGAACGTGGGTGGTTGGCGGGTGCTCTGTTGTGGTTTGCTCCAGGGGTGAAAGTTTTCCGACTCCTGCCGAAATTTCCGGCAACTTGAACTCATCCGTGGGCCTCCGTCCGGCTACACGGGCCAGGCAAGTCTTCCATAGCTGGGGACGTTACAGTTATTTTTATTTCGTCGGCGTGCAACAAATTTTCCGGTTTTTTTTAAATATAATATATCTGCTGACGGCCTACACCAGCACTTTTGGTAGGGCTGGGTACTATTCATTGAAAAGAACCCGAATAAATAAGTACCTAGTTTTACAAAAATTCGAATAGCCGAAAAAACGAGTCAGAACTTAGGTACCCACAGTAAAAACAGAGTGACTAGCCAGGCCCAGGAAATTTGATAAAAATTGCCGAGACCCGAGAGCCGGGAATCTAAGGAAATCTGTAAATTACCCTGTGAAGAGGTCGGGAAGACCCAGGAAAATATATAAATTTCTGGAATATTAGAAAACAAATTTAAATATGGTCAGTAAGTTAATTTTTGCCGGTCGCGATTGTGATATTCGTTCTGCGTTTCCCGGTCCGACAGTACATGCTACGCTAACAGGCGGCTATGGTAGCATGGGGAAGCGTGTGACACCGTGGCTCGATCGGGAATATCAAGATCTACTTTTGCTTTCGTCACCTCCCAGAACTTGGCCGATGGTAGACTGATAATGCAACATTTGCAGCATGTAGGTCGTCCATTATAAACGCTGTGTCGTCATGAAAATAAAGCAAATTTTGTCTCTGTGCTGTCACAAATTGTAAGATCACGCAGCGGCAGATATGTACATCCAAAAACAAAGAAAGAAAGATATAAAAGAAGTTTTTTACCATCAAGCATAAGGCTTTTGTCAGAATGAGCATAGATGGGTGTTGCTCGTAGAGTATGTATCTGTATATAACTCCAAAGGTCTAGTATTTGAATTTCGGGGGGGGGGGGGTAGCTCTATTTATATATAATACACGCAAACATCACACACACACACAAACAAAGACGTAGCCAACATTATACATGTATCCAGTCAACAATATTTCAGTGTGGAACTGGAGTCTTCGTGTGACTTACATATTTCAGTCTGTTCTTACTTGTTATATATTTTCTTATTTATATTTTCCCCTCATCATTTTATATATATATATAAACTATATATACAAATGAATCCTGCTTTGATCCCGTGAAAGGGCCAAGAACCAGAAAATCGACTGTCAAGAACCAGTCTAGGTATCATGATTCATATAAAAAAGTGAAAGACAACATTATTGCTCAAACTCAAAGTTAAAGTAGAGTAAAAACTTGAATGGCTTAAGTAGACCTATTCAGTGCGAGATGTTTGTGTGTATTATATTTAAATAGAGCTCCCCCCCCCCCCGGGGCAGTGCCACTGACTGTAGTGTCTTTAGGCCATTCCCAAAGGGGGGACACTTCTCGTTCAAGCATAGTAGAATTGTAAATGGGCTGACTCATGTCACGCTCATAACTGTGCCTGATCTACAACAGGGAACTGATGCTTTTTCTTTCCTGATCCTTACTATTGTCATTTTCCTCTACTCCTTTTGTATGTTTGTCACTCTCTTGTGACCTGCTATTTCCGGGGTGCCTTGATAGTCGAAGCAGACTTTGTGTTGTTGAAGCTAGAGAGGTGAGCAGTCTAAGTCTGATTCCCTGTAAAGACTTCTCTGTTGACACCCACCCCTTGGTGCTCATATGACCTTATGCAGTTGCGAGCACTGTAAAACCCTCTACTATTAAAAAAAATTAATTAAATAGAGCATGTGCTGTCATTGTTATGTAACACGCCACTGGGAAATGGATGGCACCCCTGGAAAATGGAGAAGTGTACCCCATCCTTCAGGCTGCGTGAACCATGAACATTTCAGGCTATCCGTTCTCTAACAACGGAATTTTCAGGCTTAACCATCTCTTGTCACTTTCACCTTTGGTTTGCTCCTTCTTTCCTATAAAAAATCTATCGTCTTTATCTACCCTTCTTTTTTGGGTTGTTACTCGCTTGTAACACCTCTAATCTTCGGCACTCATATAACCTTATTGTGTTGCAAGTGCCGTAAAAACAAAATTGTCATCAAGATGGTGCATGACTCTTAGGACACCCTCTATAGTTCAAGAAGAAAATAACCAGATCACAGATCAATAGGGAGGTGGTTGGATGCTCCGCTAATCTCCATTTCCCTTCTGATTTAACTGTATTGACTGCTAATTTTACTTTTATCTGTATTTGTTTATCCGACCGAAATATTTTACCTTCCAACTTTCTTACAGAAAATATTGCTATCAAAGTTGAAAAAAAATGTTTTTGAAATTTTGATTACCATTTCGTCTCAACATAATTCCAACAATTGACATCAGTTTACAATATTTCTTTTGTCACTTTATTAGATTAATGTGTTTATATTCAATCAAAAATTTCAAATTGTGTTCTGCATTTTCAAAGGTTTTCTTTTCTCTTTCCCATTTGCAGAACCCTTGTGACTACAGTCGACATCTCAGCATCTGGCCAGCAAATCGCACATGTGATCGTCTACCCCAATTCCTTATTGTTGGACCTCAAAAAACGGGTAATGGCAAATAACATGAGGCATAGATTCTCAGGGTGGATAGACAAATTGATAAACATTGACACCTTCAAGTTTCTGTAGCTTGGTGTCTATTTGGTCAGGGTAAAAACGTATGAAGGAGGACAGCAGACCCTCTGGCCTTCACCAAGCAAATTTGTGTATGGCTTACAAAGTAACATTTGCACACTCATTTTCAACACCATCCAATTGAATTATATACCTCTGTGTTCTGCAGTTTGATTGGCATGAACTCGTGTGCTCAATATTAAGAACTCCTCAGTTCTTGGTGTACTACTGTTAGATTACGAATTAATTCTTGTGCCCAGTATTAAATTCATGTGTTTTTAATTAAGCAGCTACTGACATCAACTTAGCATTCAACAGTATGGAAACGACTCTCATGTCACTTCACTGAAAGAGAAACTAGTTTTCGCTTAATTTGAAGTAGAGGGTTTAATTCAATTTTAATATTTCAACATTTGATGAGAATGTTTTTGGATGAAAAGGGAATATGGTGATAGACAATATGGGGGGCAGTACTACTTTATTGTAGAGGCATGAGTTTCCTCATCATCTGATGAAAATTTTGAATGTAGATGAATAAAGTTGTTGCCTTATTGTATAGCTGACTTTCTTCATCTTGAGTGAAGTAAAACACTTCTAGGCATCTACTACTACTACAACCACTACCACTACTACTACTACTACCACTACCACTACCACTACTATTACATGACATTGTAATGCTCTGAACGTTTTACAAATACAATAGGGACAGCTATCAGTGGGTGTGGCATATTCATCACTATCAACTGTGACTGTGCGTGAGTTCTCAGAACTAATCTAGGCCTAGCACCAGTGCTCTTTTCACTATCATCCTCTGAATCATGAATTCCTATCAACTGTTGCACATCAAAGTTATCCTCAATTGAGATATCTGACTGATTATCTTCAACACCTCTGTCAGAAATGTGAAATAACTCGAACAGATTTTGTGCTCAAAGACCAGGCAACTCGTTGTCAGATAAAACACTCCTCTAGTTTCTTCAAAGCCAACAGCTCTTTCAATTCAGTTATTAAAACTTTCTACTGTGCAAGCAAACTTTTACACAGCTATTTCCCCTGATACAGGCAGCAGAAAGTAGTGATAACTAGCGTCAATTCAAAGCAGCGGTTTTCAGCGGTATATGATTCTAAGGCGGCAGCGGTATAGGACGCTAAAGGTTAAACTACCTGGCAAAGCATTGAAGCATATCAGATCTTGGGGCTATGATACACAAATGCTGTTTCACCCATTTTTTAAAACTTTCATGAATGTAAAAGTAATTTTTTTTTGGTCTGCTAATGACCTTAAACTGTTAAAATGTACAGTTTCAACAAATTTGATGAATATGATGGCGCATTACCATTCTATTATATATATGTACTTAGCCAGACTGCATTTGCTTGACCAAAAGTTTTCAGAACACTTTTTAAAAATAATATCCTTTGCATTCATAACCTTTTTCCTTATACTGTTTCAGGCACCACTGCCCTGTACTCTTTTTTGTCTCAACATCCATCCATCGTCAGCAATCATAAGAGCCGAAAGACTTTTGAGGAAATCCAGTTTTTTAACACTGATAACTACTATTCTGGCCTTGATTGGTGAGTCTAAGTAATGATAAGTTGATACTTTATTGTCCCTCTAGAAAATTTCTCTGTCCCATTCAGTAATCCTACATTCGATAGTGACCTCTCAATGAGTTATAGTCTGCTTAAAGGAACCTATTATTGTTCTGCCCTAGGATTAACTTTATTCAATGCTGGAGAGGCAGTCCATGTCTCCTCAGAGCTCTTTCCCAGAAGTCATCAGAGGGTGTTCAATCTGCGTTGTTTCTGTCCTTTTCTTTCCCGCCCATCTGTCTTGACTGTCTTCCTTCACCACCTCTGATTCCGAAATGGTTCATATTCTTTCACTGTCCATGAAACTTCCTTGCTTTCCTGGTCTTTATGTAAATAACTTATCTTAAATACATTTTGTGTGGCGTGCTTCTTACATTTCCTTTCAGTTTTCTTATGACTTGGTTTAAACTGGACAATGGACAAAAACAGTTTATTTTTCTGTTTAAGATGTTCTAATCAGAGCTGTTAAAGTACTTTTAAAAAGGTATTTAAGTACAATCTAAGATATGTACTTAAGTACAGTAAAAGTACTTTTCTGTAACATGTACTTGAGTACAAGTACTTTTTAAAAAAGTACTTATGAGTACATTTTGAGTACTTTCTGCTAATATGCTAAAACACTTCAGTGCTAATGCAAAACATCATATTGAATAACATTCTAGTATATTTGACAAATTACGCCATTTATTACTAATAATGTAAACAGTATACAAAGTATTTGAATATACGCACTGAACGCAGGTGGAAATGGTCCGTGAAATTGAAAAAGAAAAAAACAGCAAACAAACAGACGCAACTAGTGAGAAAGTGATATTATGAATAGAACTTGTTTGAGCAAGACAATATGATCAAATGTAAGTCAGTCCTAGAGGTAGGAATGTAGGAAAAGTATCCAAATTGGAAAAAGTAGAGACAAAGTTGCTCTTTAGAAAATATAAAATTAATGAAAATGGCCAGCAAAAAAAAATGGAAACGTGCATTGAATTCTTCATAAACAAATCCTCAAGGAATCAAAGTAGCCTTAAGCACAAACCACCAAAAAAAAAGTTAAAAAGAAATTTAGATAGCCTAAAAATTGTTAGATTAATATACATTGGGAACTCAGTTTCAGTTTCAATTGATTATAATAGTGGTAGGACAGATTTTGGTCACACTGTGTAGTCCACGGCGCCCACGGCAAACCAAAATAGGCCTACATGTATTTTCCTAGAGTCTATTCAGTGTAGTGTAACCGAAAATTCTCTACTACAGTAGTCTCCGCCTAAGATCCCAGTGCTCGGGAGCAAGGGAAATACGGAATCTTAGCCGAAGAAGCCAAGGAAGAATCTACAGTGACCCATGAACTGACGTGACCCATGAACTGACGTGACCCCTGGGTGGGTTTATGACATACGGCGAGCAAAGAGTGGTCAACCTTGATGACCAATTACAGTAGCATGGTGGCATGAGGCATGCCATAATATTATACCGTACACTCATTAGCATATCGTCTCGAGATCTTAATCTACGTTTATCCAGTTGCCCCTCCCCTTTACCTGTCCAAAAATTGTAGCCTTCCATCTCTGATTGGGTCCCCTTTGTCGTTACGTACCATTACGCTGCGGCCATCTCAATTAAAATTCAGGCTGTCTCGCAAATTCGGGAATAGAGAAAAACTGCCTTCAACTTCAATGGTCAGGGAATAGTTCACAGTTCGATGTGATCCTGCCTGGAGTGAACGTGTAGGGTGGTGAGCTCAGATGTGAGTGCGATGTTTGGGGAAAAGAAACGCATCGATCAGTTCACACCTCAGTGTGATCCCGTATGAGGATCATTGTACCGTTTCACTGAGTTTTACAACGCTCGTGATCATATTCACGAGAGTGGCTGATCTTTGACGCTGCGGGCAGTTCTTTCATCTCAACTTTTAACTCTTGGTTGATCAGCTGTGCTCGCCCGGGTTTTTGTTCCGTAAATTATTATCAGAAATGCCAGCACTTACTCTTTCATTAAATTAAGCTACAAAAGTACTCAAAATGTACTTTAAAAATACTCAAAAGTACTTTTATAAAAAGTATCGGAGTACAGTAAAAGTACCTAAAATTGTAACGTAAGTACAAGTACCGGAGTACTTGTACTCCGTTACAACCAGCTCTGGTTCTAATGTTAATTTTGAAATGTCATGTGATTGTAATTTTGTTATTTATAAGATAAGTAGAATGCAGATTTTATGCAAATATTATGTTATCTCTTGCTTGCAATTTTTCTAGATGAAGCTGTGCTTTACCCATGTCCTAACTCACATGCTCTTCTTTTTTGCTGGCGTATAGTCTTCTTGACTTCACTTATCAGATTGTTGACGCTAAGTTTGCGTACTAATTTGTGAAAGTTCATCATCCAAGGTAGCTGAGATTTTGAAATCTTTTTATCTTTTTAAAAAATAAAGTATGATAATTGTTCAGGTGGGGGGGGGGGCAGTGGGTAGATATTATTTCTGTCCTTTTGCGTCTTGGCCTTCTGATGTTCCTGTTCATACTTACCAAGGGTTGAATGACTACTTTTGTATGTCATCTTAGTCTGTATGTCAAATTGACTCAGTCAACCCCTGGCCTACATTTCTGGGTTGTCAGCTCTCCCTAGAGATTTAACAACTTCTGGGAAAAAATTAAAAAATTAAAAACTTTAATACGTCCTACACACATTTGGTATACATTTTATTCAAACCTTTATTTGTGTGTATTGAAAATTTGAAGGCAAAAATATGTCATAGTTTTTAGGCAATACTCCTTGGAAAAAGTACGGAGTCAAAAAGTTAACAAAAAGGGAAGAAGGGAAGTGCATTCAAATTTTGCACCCCTTCACATGGTTCACGAGTATAGTTCTGTTTGTTCTAAATTTGGGCTTGCACTTCTAGTCATAATCTGTTTCAAACGAATAATGGTTACTTTTCCAATTAGGTTATAGTCTGCTTTTTGTTAGGGTTTGGTTAGGGCTGGGTGAGTTAAGAATCTTCTTATGATTTAATGGAGTGCTCTTGGGATAGGCCCTACTTTATTCTTATCCCTGTAATTCATTTATAGTTGTTTCTTCAATCTTTTCTCCTTTTCACAAACAACCATAGTGTTCTTTTGTGCTTTTCTACCTAAAACTTTGCCATCATATTTTGGGGGAAATCCAAAGAAACTGGGTGGTAAACATTGCCAATGGGCGAGATGAGGTGGCAAAGTGTTAAAGTGTCTTCTTTCATATTGACAACATCATTTTATTTCCTTTTCCTGTCACTACTCTATTTGGGGGAGGGGGGAGAGAGTTTGGCATTTAGTCTTCACTTTTTCTAATACCATCTTTACCATGATATTTATGCTCGGATTGCTTTTTTTTTCCCCAGGTACATGGCTTCCTTCCCTTCTCCAGAAAAGCCAAATATGACACTGCTTTTTGAAAAGAGTGCAAATTATTTTGAAAACGAAATTGTTCCAAAACGTGTTGCAGCATTACTACCTCGAGCAAAGATCATTGTTCTGGTCATGAACCCAGCCAAGAGAGCTTATTCCTGGTATCAGGTGAATAGCATGGTGCTAAAATATTAATCTTATTTAGACTTGTGTTTAGAAACAGTAAAACCATTTACTTGAAAATTCTTTTTAAACACTATTTATCCTTTATTTGAAGTTGGATACAAATACGTGACTATTTATTTGAGGCTCGAGACATGTTTTGTGATGGTGTGATTTGGTTGAAGATAGAGGATGGATTACCAAACGACAAAGTAACTTTACTACTTTGAACTCCGATAGAATTTTCTTTGTCTTTTGTCTTTCTGCCCATTGACTTACTTTGTTTATTCCTGATCTTCCCAGCACCAGCGAAACCACAAAGACCCAACAGCTATGAACTATACTTTCCATGAGGTGGTAACGGCCAATGATATGTCTCCACCCAAGCTGAGAACCCTGCGTAGCCGCTGTTTGTTACCTGGCTTGTATGCCCAGCACCTGATCAGATGGCTCGACTTTTTCCCACCTAATCAGGTGAGTACAAAAGACTCGTTGTTTGCCAGTGATGAGAGGGAGCCACTGTTGTCTCCATCTTTCGTGCCTTTAACCCCTTCAATGCCATAGGTAAATAGGCCCCTGTGCCGGAGGAAATTCCATGAACCAAGGCTGCTTCTACATTGAACCACCTTTCTAGCTTTATAATTTTGGGGAGATTTCATTGAGAGATAGATTGAGAAAAGTTGGAGTTTGTAACATGATGACAAAAACAACACCGCCAAACAACATAAACAACACACATTCGAGTAATGATAAACCGAGACCAAAAAAAGGGTGGAATACATGTTGTGTGAGTGTTTGCAGGTAAAGAGGAAGTGACAAGAGCAGGGCTGCCTAAATCTACCGATTTTTCCGGTAGATACCGATTTTGGGCCCGTTCTACCACCATACCGATAAGGTGTCAAAACTACCGGATTTGCGATGGGTGCCGAAAGAAAAAAAAACAACATTCTGCAGTGCTTCCATTATTCTTTGTTTTTGCGGAAATCCGTACATTCCGAAAGTTCTGTACTTGCCCCATCGTCATATCAACTCCGTACGTTAGAGAGAGAGAGAGATCAGCACTTGCCTTTGTAACTTGTCAGATATTTACGGCAACTCTCGGCAATACGTTGTATTAAAAACTGCCAGATTGCACATTTCGTACGCTCGACCATTGTCTATCTGTGCCCGTCAGTCAGCAATAGTTTTTCACATGCATATCGGCTAAAATCTGTCTTCTCACGATAGACAATCTTCCTCCTTCCTTTCATTCATTCTTTCTTTCTGTCTACGGCTGGAAAATCTGTGCATTTAATTCATTTATCTAGAAAACAGAACTGTGAATATAGAAAGAAAATTGGTATCAAAGCAAAACATTCTAAAATCTGTCTTGGTCTAGAGAATTGGAAAGTACCAAATGAGGATTCTACGCAGGGGGACTAGAGGAATTACTGAGGAGTCTGAAAAAAAAATCACTGAGACCCAAGAAAATGCATAAAGTCCTCGAACCAAATCTGAAAAGGCTACTGAGTTCATATTTTACCGGTCGCGTTTGTGATATTACGTTCGGCTTTCCACAGTCCGAGAGTACGTTTCACGCAAATAAGCGGCTATGGCGACAGGCGGAAGTGTAAGTGTAATACGGAGACTTCGTCGGGAAAATCAAAATCTACTTTCGCTTTCGTTACCGCTCAGAATTGTCCGATGATACAGTCAAACCTGTGTAAGACGGCCACCCATTGTCAAGGAGAAAAGTGGCCGCATAAGACAGGTGGCCGTCTTAGGCAGGACTGATCAAGATAAAGAAAATAAACCATTCCCATCTGAGGCCCCAATCGAAAGTAGCCCCATTGTTGTTGTCTTTGTTGGTGTTGTTGCTGTTGGTTTGTATTTCGTTTGTAATTTTTATTTTGTCGCTGATTTTGTACTATGGTGACAATAAAACGAAATGTATCAGACAAGGAAGACCGAGTGCCATGTTAAAACAAACACATGGGTCGCCACCACTCGGAGAACGAGGGACGCTTCTGTAACAAGTTCATGTTGACGTCCTTTGTTACTTTGTTACAGACTGGGTAAACAGTAACCACTCATCTCACTTACGATTTGTGTATGAGTTCTGGGCGGGGCTTATGGGTTATGAGGGATCACACGCTAACTCACCTGCAGCTGAAAATGGTAGCTATTGGTCAACAGTGGGAGGGGCCTACGCAACATGATCGGTTGGAGGGACTACCTAACAACAACGACAGGTGATTGAATTATGACGGCTCGCCCACAACGCCAGGGGCCAATGCACAATTTATGACAAAATGTAATGGATTCACTAAGGTGACCGTCTTAGACAGGTATTATTGCTTAGTATTATAGGGGTTGTGTGTTAAATTTTTGTGGCCGCGGCCGCGTTGGACAGGTGCCCGTTTTACACAGTTAAATTATATAGAAAAAACGCAAGGGGGGAAATGGAAAGTGGCCGTTTGTACAGGTGGCCGTCTTATAGAGGTGGCCGTCAGGGCAGGTTCGACTGTAGTTTGTTAACGTTAGATTTACAGTTAATACAAATTTGTAACCTGCAGTTTGTGCATAAAAAGCGCAGTGTCGCCATACAAATTAAATCGATATTCTCACTGGTGTCACTATAATGACCAAAAAAAAGGAAGAAAAAGAAAACAAGCGTCCTCCGATTTCTAGATTGTCGGACCCGTCATTGCGACCGGTCAGTGAAACTGTGCGAGTTCGTATCATGTGAGTACGGCATGAGTAAGGGACCGGCCGGTAGGCCTAATCAAAGTTCATTCAAAGTAGTGAGCATTGCAGGGCTTCGGAATTGAGGGAAGGTGTTTGACGCAATTGTCTACCGCAGCAGGATGTAAGGCTGCGGTGCCAGAAACTGATGCTAAAATACAAACGATAAGTGGAAGTGCGTTTTGACATTCAACAATCGAGTGCGTAAATTAGGGAACATTAGAGCACAGGCTTGATGATTGTATCTTCAAGGTTGGTGTTCCCGGATTTGTCAGTGATGACAAATTGAATAGTGGCAATGAGGAAATGCTATTTTCAACCATCGGAAAGCTCTATGTTGGATGCCTATGCATCATGACGGCTTGTTGCTGATTAAAAACTGGTACTGTGATTTACCATTTGAAAAAATTCAATACTTAGTCCCTGATGCAGTGGTTCACTGATTGTCAGGTTTGCAGCATCACTACATCCCACGCTGTCACAGTTCTTCCAGCTCCGGCTCTCAGTACACGCTCTCTTTTATTTTCAGTTTTTGCTCTGCCGTAAGCCTAACTATAAGGTTTTATAAATAAGTTTTGTCTTGCATGCTTTTTAAAATCCGTGATTGCTGAAACCAAACATGGTTTTGGCAGTTGATGTTCTTCTTGCCTCTCCTCAGGCCCAGATCAGGATTCATTTTGTATTTTTAGGGTAAAACTAGTTAAAATCAATTGTCTGTCATACATAAGTCACAAAAGACTTATCAGGGTCAGGAAATATGTTTTAATATAGTTTCTATTGGTATGGGCTAGGGGTTTTGAAGTCAGTCTGGCAATCACCCTGCACTCAATTCCAGATTCAATACTGAATGATAGGTGCCTTGAATGATAGTCCATAAATGCTTTAAAAAAACCTCGCCTCATTTCATACACATTGTTCAACTTAACTTGTACACACCCAAACACCCCCTTCCCCTCCCCACATATAATATATAAACACACGCTAGAGCATGGGCACATGCACACACAGACACACACACACACACATGTGCATGCACAAACAAGTTTTCAAAATATAATTACCCAATATCACGGAAAGCAAGCGCGTTCGATGGGGCAACGGTTATCTTTTTTTTCCTTCTTTGTCTTTGTACTACCTGATTTTGGGTCAAAATACCTGAAAATGACCCTGAATCTACCTGAAATGAGAAAATGGCCGCCCAAAGATTAGTTATTTCCTTAACTTAAGAGTCGGTGGTAACAGAAAATGTACATTTTTTGTGCTTTTAATCAACGTTTTTCAGAAAAAATCCACAAAGAAATAGTTCCTTAATGGACATGAAAGGTGTCGAGTCAAAAAACAAAGATTTGATTAAAATTCACAAACCTGCGGAAAAATGCAAGTTTCTTCACTTTGATTGTTTTGACGAGAGCCTGATTCCACCACGCTGCTTCACATATATATTCGTGTAAGCCCATCTGTGTTTACTGTAAGAAAATCATTTTTGTATGGTAGAAGTGTGTATCTAGATCTAGATCTAATCTTCTCTTCGAGCTAAAATCTGAATCTGACGCTTTCAAATGGGGGGAAAACGGAGGTAAACATAAAGGGAAGGTACCACCAATAATAATTACAAGATTTTAATAGTAACTTCCCTTATAATTTGTAGCAAAACAACCTCTGTCATAGTCCTGTAAATCCTACGGGCCATAAGCACGGCGCTACACAGTTCAGGCCCTTTAATTCTACGGACGCGGCACAAAGAGGTTAAATCATTTCTGTAGGACATTTTGTTTTTTCACATCTTTTGATTACTCTTTTATGAATATGTCTTAAGCTTACGGATGCATTCTGTTAGTTCATAATTCATTTTATAAGATAAAATGTTTGCATTAATGTTGTCAAAACTGAGGAGGCAAAAATGATATTGTTTCAGTGTCAGAATGAGATTTGTTAAATGTCATAATCTGAGTCATTGGATGACAAGGGAAGATTTTGTGATGGCCCTCTGTACTCTTTGAATGAAATTTTTTAGAAAAATACTGTTATGGCTCCTTATCTTCAAATCATTGTGACTTCATTATCGATTAAACTTTACAAATTATCTTTTTTTCTAAACCAGCTCATGAGGCAGATACCAGCATGCTGTGCGAGTTCAAATAGGTTTATAGTTTGCTGTAATGATATATGTGGTTTATCCCTTTTTTTTTCTTTTTTTCAGATCCACATTGTCCATAGTGATGAGTTGCGGAATGACCCAATCAATGTGATGCATTATCTTCAGAAGTTCTTACATGTCCATCCCTACATGGATTACAGTCAGTACTTGAGGTGGGTAAATTATCAGGGTTTTTTTAAATAATGCCTGTACTCGTTTTTTTTCTCTAAGAATAAAATACTTTTGTTCTCTATTTTTTAACTCATTTTATCTGGGCTACGAGTATACTGGAAAGGAGTATTATCCTGGGCTACGAGAAAACTCGGAACAGCTATATGATTATTTAAATCAACTAGCTGTGCTTGTAGTAGGCACATCAGTGAACGCGCTCACTACAGCGTGATTCGGCTTCGGAAAGTCCCATTGAGTTTTGTTTCCGGACTTGACGTCTCATCGCGACAGTGGGTTCAAATTGCCCATATTTTTTTTTAATTTAGGGGACCAACATTCAAGTCCGATTCATATCTTTAAAGACCTTTGGATGGCCCTCAAAACGTTTTTTTCCAGGTCGATGTGCGACTAATGAGTCTCAAGATAAAATAGACACTGCATTAATTTTTTATAAATTTTCTCGTCGTATTATGTTCAATCTACCCTTGTTGGTAAACCATTCTTTGTCTTCCAGAAAACGTTTAAATGGTTATCGTAGAAGTCTTACCTTGGCTAGTGAAGTTTTACCCTTTCATCAACCAAATCCGCGAAAACCTAGCTGAACCCTTCAACGTGACATCGCGCCGAACCGTGACGTCACACATTTTGCACCTTGAGCTTTTGGCTCCCTCTGTTCATTGTTTGAAATGTACGAGACAGGGAAATAAATCGCGGAGAGGTTTTTAAACTTCAGTTTAAAAAGTTAATCAATTTTGGTAATGTTTTATAATCACTGACCTTACATTGTGCCTTAATTCATTTGATAGTATAAAGAAAACGAGACTTTTAGACCCAAGAGTATTTCCTTTTCACTGAGCTCCCCCCTCCCTCCTTTTTTCCCCTGCCCAAAGCCTTTCATTGCGTAGGGCCTAAATCTAGTATGAAGAGTCCAGACTCGTGTTGTTAACACAGTCAAAATTAAATTGGGACGCCTGTTAAAGTATCTGATGCAATTATTTGCTTGATAAAGCATCTTAGGTCTATTGTTAGTACTGATCCAGATTTTCTTTCTTTTCTGTCGCATGAACAAGTACGAAAAATGCTATGTATTCAAATGTGGGATCCGCTGCATGCCCCCCCCCCCCTCTCTCTCTCTCTCTCTCTCTCTCTCTCTCTCTCTCTATTATATGTCCTTTTTGTCGTCTTATTTCTCTTATAATTGACACAGCCACCATCCTTCCACGACACACGGTATTAGCAGTGCAAACCTATTACTCTTTTCCACTGATGAAACAACCCTGAAGAAAGATGCCAGTTGCAACAAAGTGAGCACTTTTGCTCCTCAGTTCTTACTTTACTTTACTTTTTCCTTCCTTTGGTATCCTTAGGATGTCGAGGGGAGGTGCAGGTTTCGGCGTCTGTGATAGATATGTTAATTATTTATATTGTTCCAGGACCTTTTTAACCCCATCCATTCTGGTCTTTCTTGGTCTTCCTCTTGATTTAAAGCCGGATTCGCGGGTGTGGTAAGCTCTAGCCACTAGTTGTTTCTGGGGCATTCTGGTTAGATGTCCGAACCATTTGACTCTTTGACATTCTAATAAATTTACTACTGGTAGATGTATGGTCTCGTTCCTTATGTGGTCTCCTCTGGTGACGTTGGTGGTTTTGCGGAGACGCTTAATTTCGCGGCGTGCATTGATTTTCCTTTCTCATTCCTTGTTCAGAGACCATGTTTGGCACTGGTATGTTAATGTTGATATGAAGATTCTATTGATGAGCTGGGATTTCACTTCAGTTGGGATGTTCTTGTGACTGAGAAGGGGTGCTAGCTGGTAGGTCACTGCATTTGCCTTCATAAATTTTGTTTCTTTTTCTTTGTCCATACGCCCATGTAGTGTGAATACGCTACCCAAATATTTAAATTCCTCTTCATGTTGAAGTTGTGTTCCGTCAATAAGGATGTTGAGTTTCCCTGTGTTTTTTCTAGCATTCATAACTTCTGTTTTTGAAATTGAGATTTTCATGTTTAGGTGTTTGCATTCCTCATTAATTAATTTTGTGGTGTGTTTTTGTGATTCCTCTTCATCTGTATTTAATGTACTCTGGTCATCAGCAAATAGAAGCTCGTTCAGTTCATTGATGCTGTAATTTGCTGCTTTCGTGATCTTATCCATGTAAGTGATGAAGAGAAGCAGAGAGAGAACACACCTTTGTCTCACCCAAGACCTGATGGGGAAACAGTTCGACAGTCCTTCTGTTGACCTTACGGCACACAAGCTGTTTTTATTAAGTGCCATGATGTTCTCCAGCAGTTGTCCTTTTACACCATTTTCCTCTAAGACTACCCCCCCCCCCCCAGGGGCAGTGCCACTGACTGAAGTGTCTATATGCCATTCCCAAAGAGGGGACATTTCTCGTTCTAATGCACAGTAGAATTGTAAATGGGCTGATCAAACAATGTCATGCTCATAACTGTGCCTGAACTACGACAGGGAACTGCGGCATTTTCTTTCCTAATCCTTACTATCATCATAATCCTCTACTTCTTTTGTATGTTTGTCACACTCTTGTGACCCGCTGTTTCCGGGGTTCCTTGATAGTCGAAGCAGACTTGGTGCTGTTGAAGCTAGAAAGGTGAGCAGAGTAAGTTTGATTCCCTGTAAGGACTTCTCTGTTGACATCCACCCCTTGGCGCTCATATGACCTTATGCAGTTGCGAGTGCCGTAAAACCTCTAAGACTTCCCCAAGTTGGCATCTATTTACCCTTTCGAACGCCTTTCCGTGGTCCACGAAGACGATATTGAGGTCTTGTCATTTCCAATGGCAGTCTCACACAACTGTCCGAGTGCAAAAAAGCGTCAGGACAGCCCCTGCCTTTTCTGAAGCCAAACTGGGATTCATTGAGTTGGGTCTCTACAATAAGTTTCATTCTCATTTCCAGTATCTTGGCAAACGTTATATCCACACGTCTGAGAAGGGATATTCCTCTGTAGGCTCTGTGTTGTTTTTGTCGCCCAGGCCAGGTTAAATATCCTCCATAGCCAGAGTTCTCCGATATGGCAGCATAGTTTGATCTCTTCTGCTGTGATGTTTTCAACGCCTATCACTTTGTATGTGGGGCTTTTCTTTGTAACATGTTGGGTTTCGATCAGCAGTAGTGATGGTTCTGGAGTGGTTTCTTTTGGTGAGAAGCTGTTTGCTGTTGTTTCTGCTGTAGGATTCAGCAGCTCCTGGAAATAGCGTTTCCATCTTTCCTTAATCTTTTGCTTTCTGAAAATAGGTTTTCCGTTCTCATCATAACTATTTCAGTTGGATTGAATGGTTCTTCCCGCATCCTCATGCTTTTTTAACTCTCTAGTAAAACTTTCAAGTGTCTTCTTTTCATTTTGTTACCAGCTGTTCTCCTTATACTGTACAGGATCTGTTCTTAGCTTCTTTTACTACCCTTGATGTATAGCAGCGTTCCTTTCTGTATAGGATGTAATCTTCCTCTGTCTTTGATTTTTGCCTCTTTTTGAATGCCATTTTCATCTGTTGGACGGCTTCCTTCACTTGGTCATTCCACCATATAGTTGTTTTCTTTTTCTGCTCTCTTGTTTTCCTGGTGCCGCACTCTTCTTTTAATGCTCTGTACAAACATGCTTTGGGGTGGCTCCATTCCTCTTCAATGTCTCCCAGTTGTTTGGGCAATTTGTGAAACACATCTTTCAAACGTTCATGTATCTTATCTTTGGTATTATCATTTATATTTCTGAGATTTATGACTTCTCATCGTTTATTTGCTTCTGGCCTTTTCCTGTTTGGTGTATCAATAGTCATGATGACTGGTCTGTGTGTGGTCAGTGTCTGTGATGTAGATGGGAATCACCCTTGAGTCTCTGATTTTCCTCAGTTTCGATCTTTTGGCCGTGTTAAAATCAATTTGTGATGCTATCTTTAGGTCGTTCCATTTGTACCAAGTTTTAACTGGACTCCTTTTGTGTTGGAAGAAGGTATTTGATATGACGAGGTCATGTTCTGAGCACAACTGTAATAGCATTTTTCCATTGCTGTTTTGATCTGTTTCTCTGTCACTGTATGGCTTCATGTATCTCTCCCACGTCATCTTCCTTGTTCCCACTCTGCCTTTAAAGTCCCCCATGATTGTCACATTATCTTTGTCATCCACGGTGTTTAAAAGGTCACTCAGTTGATCATAGAACTGATGTTGATGTTCTTCGGGGTATGAGTCATTGCATAGTTCATATATCTGTATTTGATGACCCTCAGTAATTATCATATTCTATGGGGATTTCCCGCTTTCTACCATACTCGTTGAATTTTTTATATATGCTTCAAGTCTGTGTTATGCTTTTTTAGTTTATTTTTAGCATAGGTTTAACGGCACTTGCAACACAAATAGGTCATATAAGCCCCGAAGATTAGAGGTGTTACAAGAGAGTAATATACACAGAAAAGAACGAGGACAGATAAGGACGGTTGATTGTTAATAGGGAAAAAAGGAACAAACCACACCCCAGAGCACCCGCCAACCTCCTGCTTGAGTTATGCATGTAAGATTGAAACTGCTTTCAATTTTAATCATTTTTTCCCAATAGCAAGTTAAAGAACTCTTTAAAACAAAATGAGTGATGTTTTTCTTTTGAAAATCGGACCATTATTATGGAAAGTGTGCCAGTTTCTTTTATGGGATAATAGGCTTGGGACTCCAGATGTCACGCTTATGATGTAATTAAACGGTAAATAGAATTTTACTCTTAATGTACTTGACTTTTATTTTTATATATTGATTCTACATAAAACAACAAACAAAATGATACCTCAATGGTTACGATACAACTATTATTAAGGATTTTATGACATTTTGAAGCAAAGTTTCGAGTTTTGGTGGCACAAAATGCTGTGCAAAATTTTGGCCAAATGAGGGCGAAAATTAATTCACAAAAATGGTTGCTGCTTCTGAACTAACCAAGATAGCACAAAAGTTTTTAAAGCTCTGAAAACAGAAAGCCAAGCTATTTTCAATAATCCTAATTTTAGTGCCCTTGGAGAAGTTTGAAAGTTTCATTGAAGTGCCTACTTGTAGTTATCAAAATTAGCAAACTGTGGTGATGCTAGCTTTAACTGAATATTCATACATCTATTATATATTTGGCAACTTGGTAACACATGTGTCACTTTTCCAGTAAAACTACAACAGCTACAGAGTTGAAAGTTGACAAGTTCCTGCAAAAAGATAGATAGGTCCCCGTGATGGAGCCTGATTTTTCATTTATTCAGTGCTTCCACTCTTCCGTATTTTTACGGAAATGCATACTTTCTGCCAGTTCCGTACTTGTTCCTCCATCATTGTCAACTCCCTCTGTGAAAAAACTGGGACAGCGTAGGATTAGATATCTAGTGAAATTCCGTAGCAAAGATCCGAACTCGCCTTCGTATCATCTTGTATAAGCTACAGATATTTATGGTAATTCTCTCGGTAATGAGTTATGGAGACCTGCCAGTTTGCGCATTTCTTGCAACCGACCATTATTCCGCTATACCCCATGCGTTCATTGCGGGTTGGTCGGCAGTACATTTTTACCGGCAGATTGATCAAAATCTGGCGAACTTTTTGTGCCAATTTCTTCCTTCCTATCATTCACTCTGTCTATCTTTGGACTGTTGCCGCGGCTGGAAAATATATGTGTTGATCAAGTAAATTGACTTTTGGTATTTGACAGAAAATGACTGTCAGAAAGAAACTTGTTTGCAAATTTATTGTCTAGGTCTAGAGAAATCTTCAATGGGAAGATTCTACGGCACGGGAACGCGATAAGGGTCGCAATGAAATAAATTATGCTAAAACTACTAAAATCAAGAATAATGTAAAGTGGTGTACCGAGGTTGTGACATGCGACATTCAGACGTGAAAATTGTGAAAAATTAGGGTATACGCTGGGTAACTGTATTGTGAAGGTGCATTATTCATTATTCCCAGGTTTGCCTTCTATCAATCATGCGATGACAAATTAATTGAATTATAGTAGCAATGAAAGGGGAACCTGCTTTTAAACATTGCCAGCAATGGAAAGATATGTAGGGGAAAAAATCGAACTAGACAAAATGTTGGAAAACAAATAAATGTTATGGTTTGTAGGCAATCTCTTCAAACAGGCTCCCAAATGCCATTTTTAACCCTCTAAAAGCACTAAATTTCAATTTCTTCGGGGGCTTCGCCACCTAAACCCCCACCGGGACTCTGTCCCTGGACCCTGCTGGGGGCCTATGCGGCCCAAGACCCCCAGCAGAATTTTCCTTACTTTTCAGCTTCAGCTGGTGGAAGCACTGTTTATTCATTTCTTGGATTTAGACAAATATATTTGACAAACAGTTCCCATCCTTCTTTGGCCTTTGTCATTATTCCACTAAGAAACGAAAACAAATCTGCGTAGCTGTCCTTCACAGCGGAAGTGCCGAGAGTGATATTTCGTGAGGCGTGTTTTGTTTTGAGAGTATAGTTCCAGACCTTCTAATTTTTTGCATCTCTCAAGATTTATTGCTCCATTCCAGTAGAGTGTAAATATAGTAGGCTGATTACTTTCAGTTGATGTTAATGCACTGATCATTCCTTTCATCGAAAGGGGGCCCAGCTAGTTTTTAATAAATGGCAGTTTATTTGTTTCTGATTAAAGTAAAAGCATGAAAAGAGCTTCAAAAATGCACTTTCACCGCTGAAGAAGGGACACTTAGTTGAGAGTGAAGCTGATTATTCAGAAAATAGTTACTCTGAAGCCAGTGTCGAAAATGTGATTGTGGATGAAAGTGAACGTAAATTTGATTTTGAAGAAGGGATCAGTACTGGAATTTGCAGGTTTGCACCTGGGGGGTGCTGATCAAGTTCTAATTCTGCTGTAAATCTAAGAGCACATGATGGTGCAAATAGTGTAATGTTGTTTTTCATTTTTGTTTTGCAATATTTCCCTTTGTTTTGTAATAATTTCAACACATACCCAAACAAAACATATATTTTCAAAAACTGCATTAAATTTCCTAAATTTCTGCCTGCCCTCATCAATATCTAGTAATAAATGTAAGAAATACAGCACTTTGAAATACCCCCTGAATTCCAACTTACATAGTGTAGCGGCCCTAGGACCAATATATGGTCCATGGGAAGACAGTCATGGTAAAAAGGGTTAATGCATGCATCAATTTTAGATTGTTGCTAACAGGTTTTACTTTTTTTTTTTTGCATCCCCTTCTATTTCATTTTGTTGTATTGCTTCATGGCATCAGTATAATATATATGGGTATTTTATAGGTTAATCCCGCCATTCCCGAGTCTTTCTTCCTTGCTTTTAACCATGTTAGAGGGGCTAAAAAATTTTAGTTTTAATCCGTACAATTCTGTGAAATTGACCATTGTCTAATCCGTCTTTTATAATTTGTTCAATAATTGTTTGGGATGAGTAGAAGAGTGATTACTAAGAAAGCCATTTCGTAACTTTTAAATGGCATATATGTAGTTTTTTGCTCTTGTTTTAAATTTGAATCTTCTTATAGTCTTTCTACAGGTAGCTGCGCATTTTTCCCAGAGCTGATCAATGGTGCAACTTCTGTTTTATAAAAGATCACAGTGAACCTCTTCATGATATTTGCTAATTTTTCATCTATTATTTTATTTCATTCCTTCTTTTAGTTGGGGCTTTGGTTATAACGAAAGTATAAAAACAAACCAAAATAGAGTGAATACAGAGATGCCAACCAGTACGATTTTACGTATTTTAGTACGATTTTTTGCCGAAAATACGACTTTTCATGAAAAAATACGCATCCTGGAATGCGAAAAATACGAGATCCAGTTTGGGCGAGTAAACCTAATTATCTCAAGTCCCATCTTTTGTCAAAATAGTTTCAGTATCGCGGAACTGGAATATTTGAAAACTAAGTCCGATTAGGTCAGTAAGTTCAATGTTGCCGGTCGCAATTGTGATATTATATTCGTTTAGCGTTTCCTCCTCCGAGAGTACGTTTCACTTTCAAGCGAACAGGCGGCTATGGCGGCAGACGGAAGTGTATATGACACCGAGGCTTGATCGGGAAAATCAAGATCTACTTTCGCTTTCGTTACCACCGAGAAGTTTGTCAGCGGTAGACTGATAATACAACTTATTTGTGACATGCAGGTTGTGTAGTAAACGCTGTGTTGCCGTGCAAATAAAATTTTTCTGTGCTGTCGCTTGTAGGAAAAAAAGAAAAGAAAATACAAGCGTCGCCCGATTTTTTTTTCGTTTTTAGATTGTCGGGCTCGCCATCGTGACCGGTCAATGAACCTGCGCGCATTCGCGTCATAAATAAATGCGGCATCGTGTGAGCAAAGACCGTGTTTGGTGGGAGTAACGGCCTTACCAAGTATAGGACTGGGGGGAAGGGAGGAGATGTGAAGGCAACACCAGAGGACAAAAACTTTGAGGCAAATTTCAGAATTTTTATTAGAGCTCTCTGCAAAGTGCGCGTTAGTGCAGGCCATGTGCGGAATCGGGACCCTTCATACTTTGCACATCTGTGTAATTGAAAAAAAATGTTCGCGTGTATTGGATGGGTGATAGTAAATTATACCTACAGTATATGTTGTAGCTTTCTGTTCAAGATGGACAGATTTTCAGTGTCACTGCATCTTGCCCTCCCACACTTGTTACAACTCTCACAGTGCACGGGTCTACTTGAGCCTTTCAATTTATTGCTCTTCTCTGAGTTTGAGCAATATTTTGAGTCTGTCAGTTCATATGAATCATGACACCCTGCCTGGTTCTTGATAGTCGAAATTCTTGTTCTAGGCCCTTCCGAATGCTCAAAACAGGATTAATTTTTTAATAATAATAATAATGAGAGGAAAATATTCAAACAAGACCCCAGTACGACATTGAACACTGACATGTTGTTGACTGGATACATGTTTATCATACGCATGTGTGCTCCCTTTTTTGAGCTGTTGAGCTAGTAAATTTTTTCAGGAAATATTGCTGGACACCCTGAACATTTTACTGGTTGGTCGGTCGGTCGTGGAGAATACACATTTTCCCCTGAAAATACACATTTTCATATTTCCCAATACTCATTTTGGTTTTCTGTGGTTGGCGTCTCTGTGAATAATGTAGGCTATTGATCTGTTGCAGGTATGACCCAGTTAAAGGCTTTTTCTGTCAAGTCATAAGTGACAAGCAGAATAAGTGCTTAGGAAAGAGCAAAGGACATACGTACCCTCCAATGGGCCCTGAGGCAGAGCAGCACCTACGACATTTCTACCGCAAACACAACATGAACTTGTCCAAACTCCTTGCCAGTTTCAACACAGCCGTACCACAATGGCTGCAGACGGAACTTAAGGAAGCTGTTCTGCTCAAAAATTAAAAATGGCAATTAGTGAGCTAGTGAGGAAGTGACTTGTTGTTTGTTGAGTGGAAGGTTCAAGGGGTTTGTTTGAATGTCTGCAAGAATTTTTTGCCCTGGCTGTACAGCTTCTATCTGTTGCAAGTGTGAATGTTTTTGTATGATAAATGTGCATCCTGTTTCATTTCAGTTGTAGTGACAAGTGTGAACAGGTCTAATTCAGTTTCACGTTATACTTTCAGATCACGTATCATTTAATCTTCTTTCTTTTTTTGCTTCATTTGATTATGTGGTTGTTATTGTGCAATTGTAGTTAACTACAAGTTAGTGCAGTGACAGCCACATGTCATACGAAGAGATGAATAAGTACACAAGAGAGGGTTTCTTCTAGATGTACACATCCTTTGTTTATTACGATTGTTGCACAAACATTTTCTACAACCTCTCTCTATATTTGTTGCACAGACAGTTGCTTTTTTTTTTTTTTACGGAATCTTAGTACACTGTTGGAGCTTCAAATCAAGACTTTTGTTTCGTATTCTCATATATTGTTACACCTACAGAGGCCAACAAAGTATTACAGTCATTCTTCTCTCCCTCCGTGGAAAAGCTTGTAAAAATGAATGAGTTTTCACCTGGAGTGTATTTCCCTTTAAGCCAGCTATGAGGTATATGTGTATTGTGGAATCAACTTGAATGGCCGGTCTATGTACGTTGTTTGGCTCATGGATCGGTCAAGTTTTGTCAGGGATAGATTATTGAGACTTGCCCATGAAGTGTTCTTTCTTACAGATAGAAATGCTTTAAGAAGTTATGCCTTCTTGATCACAAATAAGTTAATAAGCTTAAATTCACATTTTAAAATGTATTTTCATGTTCCTCGCTCTAATGCCTCTGGATAAAAAGTGTTGTCCATCAGCTGTTAAAAAAATGCAAGGAAAAACCATTTGGGGTTTTTTTTTTGGCCATAGGTTGTTTTTTTTGTTCATGTCTCATGCTTTTCACTCGCCTGCTGGATGTAGTCCTTTTTTTTTTTGTCTTGTGCTTACCTGAAAAGTGTCATCAACAAGCAAGGGGGAGATGACAAGGATATCATGGTGGGTGTACAGAAAGTGACAGGAGCCTCTCTTGTACTTCAAAGGGCTTGAAAATTCAAAGAACTGAGTATTTGCACTTTGCTGAGGCTGTTCCAAAGGAAATTGAAATCTATTCTCTTGTACAGAGCAAAGACCTGGAGATTAAAAGAAGGAGCTTCAAACTCATCCTTTGCTGAGCCCTAAAGACATTTTGATTGGCTGTTAGGTTACTATAGTTGTCAGCACTGACAGCAATGATTGGATAAACGAGCAAGCTGCCAAGCTGATCACTCTGTGTTCAGTGTGTGCGATCTTAACAGTTTCAACTGCTTATTTAAGAAACTTTTATTTACTTAGGCATAATGTTGGGGTGTGGGGAGGGGGGCTTAAGCCCGTGAGCCCTTCACTACTCACCGCCACTGGTGACAAATTCCAAGAAACTGGTCTAAAGCTGGGCAAAACTGGAGATGGAGAAAGATGCATGTGATAAGTCTTTGGAGATGAATTGTTAATGGCCTATAATTTAATATCTTCAATGAATTAAGAGGCAAGAGAGAGATAATATACCTGCATGGCATTAATCTACAAAATATTGGGGTCTGATGACTGGCTTAACGTCAAGCACACAAAGAGGATTAAGCCATTGCCATGACAATTTTATTATGTATTTCACACATCCATATTGTCAGAAATTACAACTACATGAATACTGAAATGAATAAGTGAGATGGATGATGTACTGTCTTTCTTTGATGCATTTTCATCCTTTGTCCATTATACCTCACAGCATTTCAAGAAGAAGGGAATATTGTGCTAGGTGTCTGGGATAGGTCTTATTTCATCCCTTTTGGGGGTCTGCTGTTCTACCTTTCCCAAAGCACCATTGTTGTGCAGATCTGCTTTTTTTTAACAAGCTGATTGCATGTGGTGTCTGGAGAAATGATATGATTTCACCATAGTATGTTGGTAAATGTTTTGAAACGGCCAACCAAGCAAAAAAGGTCATAGAGCTACACATTTTCAGAAAATACAGTCCTTCAAAAAGTTCTTCAAATGAGACAAAAAGATAATGATTTGACACTGTTTATGTTATATAGTTCTTATTCCTTATGTAAAAGTAAACACCCTAAATTACCTCTTCTTGTGACAATGCAATATAACCTTGTATTGATGAGATGTAACGTATAGCTTCTATCTTTTATAGTGCTTGTGAGTCACAGGATATGGCTTATATTTGTGTATAGGTTTGCATTTCAATTTTTCACTTTTTCTATTATCTCGATTTCCCATTGTCTTTGTTATGTATTGTAAATTATTTCCTCCTTGTGCAAGAATATTTTTTAGCAGTGCCGTGAATTTTTTTTTCCTGAATGACATACTCATACGGTTTATTGTAGCTAAGATTCTACGCATCTGAATTAGTTAAATGTATACATAGTCAGCATTCTATGTTTTTATATTAGTTACAGTTACTCAAAGTCTGGGCATTTTTAAAAACAGAATCCAAGCAAATGAACAAAGGAAAGTGTCCTGAAATAACTTGGTACACAGCTTAGTATGCTTTCTTAGATTAGTTAAAGGAGACTCAAATACCTTTGGCATGCAATCATAAACATGAAAGTGGACCTGATGACAGCTGTGCTGCAAGGCAAAGTTGATGCAAAGAGAACTAAGGGTAGACGTCTTACATTGAGCATTGATTTTTACTCAACTGGGGAAACTGCCTGTAAACTACAATCTTTTTGGAATATCCGAAAAGAGGTTTTATCTTCTTACCATATGTGCAGCAAAAAACTTCTTTATAAATTAAGTATAGTATTAGGCAAAGTTGGAATGACGGTCTTCCTGATGCCTTTGCATAACCCTGCCCCGCTATGGGTAAAAAGCATGTTTTTTTTACACCTGGTTCATTGTCTTTATTGTTGGACATGTCTTAATAGATTCAATTGCTGTTTCTTATCTTCAGGTCCATCAAGAGTTTGAAATGTGTTCTCCAACTAAAGAATTTTCGTTTGTATGGTGTATGGCTGGCTATGCAGGGGTAATCTCTGCATTAGTTAAGATCCAAGTCACATCATACTTATTTTTCCTTAACTGGTTTCACACTGTTATTCCAGGAAAGAGTTTCTACATACCCCATATATAGACAAGAATCTCAGCCTTCTTCAACATTTTATTGATTAACACAGTTTCCTATCATAGTTGTATACCAAATACAAAAGTTATGAAATGTGTAAGATTTTGGGGATTTTTTTTTTTTTTACTTTCTTTAGTGTACTATTTTCAAGATGGTTATTTTTAAATGTCCTGTCTTTTTCCCCTCGTATTCCTGTTATGCATTATGGGACATCAATAATGAATTTAAAAAGATTCCAACCATATTTATACTTTTTTTAATGAAAATTATGTCATTTTCATTTCCATCCAATGCCAGTAAATAGTGTTTTTTAGTAAATATTTTAATTCTTTCTAAATTGGTGACCTGCGTCTTCAGTGTTACACATCTCAAGTTATATTGATAGCCTCAGCATATATTTGAAAAAAGAAATTGATTTTTAGATTGATTTTTATTTCTTTTTCTAACCTTATTCTTGATGAATTTGAAAAGTATCCACTCTTCATTGAGATAATAAAACTCTAATAGAAATGAACAACTCCCGCTTAATGGTTGGTAAATTTGTCCGCTGTCTGCTCCTGCATGTTCTTTTAAAAAAGGGACTGGTGTGGCGTGTGGAGAAATGGCCCCCATCACTAGGATTCAGTGGTTATTTCATCTGAAATACAATGATGAATATTTTGTTATTCAGTAAAATACTATCAGTTTTGTTTCTGCATTAAATATGGGCTGTCCTTGACTTGTTTCTGTAATGTGAAACAGGGCCTTTTTTAAAAAGAATTTTAGAATCATAGAGAGAGTCTCTCTTTTGAACTATCAGCTGTTGATGAAAGTCAGCTTTTTTGATTGGTCAGCAGTTTGTCTATTGTTATATTATAATGCTAAACGTGTATATGCCACATGTCATGGTATACAGATCTTTATCTGGATAAATATATATGCTTTAGCGATTTTCAACAGTATGTTCAGGTTAATATAAAGTAATTATGAATAAAAATGTTTATAATGACATATGGTACATACTCTTCTTATCTCTATTCAGAGTTATTTGAGAAAGGATCACTTTTATCTTGCACATTCCTTATCAAGAAACCTTGGGATCTCGGTTGCAAAAAATGTGCGAAGGGAATGTGAGGACCCATGTCTGTAGCTGTAACTGCTTTCAAAGTGTTCACATTTTGTGATCACCCTTGTTTTTCTGATCTCAGTAAGACAAGACTTGGCTGATAATATTCGAATAACTGGAAGTAGGTGATTTTTAAATTTTATTCACAAACTTCAGCTTTTCTTTTAGACTACAACTGCTTAAGGGTCTCATACATTTTCCTTTCGTGGGTACCTTTTATGTGATATCACATAATACATTAAGATCACCTTTGATATATCTATCTACAATGATCTGAATTATCACTTCTTTAGATGTTGTCTTGTGAATGTGGTCTGTTTTATGGTGTATATCTGTAAATATATTATTATGAGTAATGTACAGTTGGGTGTAGATGGTATCATTCCTTTCGTATGCATAGAAAAATGTTATTTTACGCTTTCATGCAGAACATTATGCTTTAGTGGGGCTGTGCTTGAGATACATGTTGATATAGTGTATGTGATTACGAATGACCAAGGCCCATTTTGTGTATTGCCCCTATCTTTAGAAGTACGGTAGCGTTGTTTTTATCATCTTCAATATGTCATAATCAGCTTTGTCAGATGTGTTTATGAGTTTCGGCACATTTTTACAGTCTTGTTTTTTTTAAATAAGAGCTTGGGTGGTCTGACCACGAGGAAACATTTTGCACACAGGACAGATTTTTAAGAAGTATTTGCACAATTTTGCAGTCTTGTTTTTTTTAAATAAGAGCTTGGATGGTCTGACCACGAGGAAACATTTTGCACACAGGACAGATTTTTTAACAAGTATTTGCACAATTTTCATTTTTTCTCCCTATTCTGTCTTGTTGGATCTTTTTTTTATTAACAACTAGGTTCTGTTACTGCGCATATTCATGTTTGCTAAAGCAGAGTTTTGGTTTTGGACTCATATATCTTTTAGAATGTCAAAGAAAGGTTTAAGAAGCATCCTGAGGAATTTTCAGTCCGTGGACATTGTCATATTATTTCATATTCTGGTCCCTAGTCTCATCCAAATATTTGTCTGTATTTTGACGGGACAAGATTATTTAAGTTAAAATATGTTTAAATTCAGGAATGCTCTATTGTATTGTGATGCAGACAACAATTACTTTATTTACTGGAATGTATACATCTGTCAAGCCTCTATTCACTGCTGGTGCTTTTGTTAGACCTGATACAGAATGTCATAAAAACAATTCATGAGGAAATTTTACCTTTAAATTGTTGGATGCCAACACAAGTGATACAATCTTATTGACAGCTTTTCTTAGCACTGAAAATTTACTAATTTACCTGATAGTAGGCTATGGATTCGAAGACGACGCCAAAAGTAAAACTTAATATTGATATCGGTGCAATTTTGAATATGAATAAACAGCAAATATTTTTTGTAGAAAAGGTTTCCTTAGTCTGCTTAAACATTTGTTTGTACGCTAAGGCTGAGTGACAGTTAATGGCATTTGTTTGCCTAGTCAAGATCTGAAGTTTTCATTTGCTTAGTTCATTGGAAAGATTACTTAGTCAAAAGAGGTGCTTGAAGTGTATCTGCTGTGAACAAGAGATAAGAATATGTTTTTGTGAGATTCTTTTAAAACACAAAGCTCA